AATTTCGGTAACAAGAAAGTAACAACAGCCCCTGCTCCTGCACATGGAATCGTAGGTGCTTACAAAGGTCGTCCATTCAGTATGCCAGTTGTCACTGATGCAGTACATGCCAGTGCCGCATCAATGGGTGCTATGAATTCATTTGTTGGAAGTGTCAACGGTCGCAGTGGACTTGACGCAAGCGATGTCTTGAGTTATAGAACAAGTGGAGGAGTGGGTAGTTTTTCCGGAACCCCAAGGAGTATGAGTGAAAGGATGATGATGGATGATTTGATGGAAGCAGAGGGAGAAAATCAAAAGAGTTAGCCATTTAGGGAAGCTCGAGAACTTGATACAAGAACCGGGAAACAAGCATATTGGGCGATGGGGGCATACAACGTAGGGAAATGAGACTCGTGGTGTATTTATGTGTGTACTCTTTACAATTGCATATCTTTTGGCGTTTTACGGATGGATCATCGATTTCTACGTCATTGTCATATGACGGATGAGGATAGATGATCATAAGCATGGTATGGGAAATGGGGCGGCATTGTCTGTTTGTTTTTCTGTTTTTTGTGAGGGGTGCTCTGAGCTTTGGTTCGGCTCGGTTTCATGATTGAGCGGAGAGTTGGAGGCTGGAGCATAGTCTATATTTCACGCATGAGATTTATAGGGGAGTATGTTTGGTGTGGTGTGGTGTGGAGTGGAGTAGCGTGGCGTCGCGTGGCATGGATCGATTGATTGATTTCAAATAGGCAGTAGATCATGAATTGTATATCTCGCACTGGGTATGTATCGGGTAGATAGGTATGCTTGCTTGCACTTATTTATCTACATTTTTGGTACGAACCCTTTCACCATATACAAGACGTGCATTGCAATACAATACATACTCGTCAATGCTATACGAAAGATCTTTGTCTTCGAAGACATCTGTCTAATGTGTGTTGTTGAGATGGTCAAATGATCTGATGTGATATGGTTTGTATACCGGGATTTAATCGCAGGAGGGTGGAAGTTGTGAGTAGAGCTTGGGTAGGTAGGTAGGTAGATCATGAGGAGATCAAAATTACATTGTATGTGTTTGTTGGTGCGCGGGTGTTTGTATCTGTATTCGTATTTCTGTTTGCGAGAGATGCGATTGCATTGTCTTGCCTGCCTATCTGCAAACCTACCTCGGTGGAGAGTATATAGTCATAAATTTATATGTGTATCTTGATTTTTTTTGGTTGGGTATCTTCGTACCATTGTACCGTTGTACCTATGTAGATATGCGGGGTAATGTAATGAAAGGAAAATTATTCCTGCGTGGGGAGTGGCTCGGTAGCTTGGTGGGTGGGTGGGTGGTTATACATGACCGGGCAAGGCAGCTGAATGGGTGGGTGGGTAGGTAGGTAGGTAGGTAGGTAGGTAGACACTCCTCTTTGTGTGTTTGTTGAAGGTTTTGGTGTTTTGTTTGAGGGGTAGTGTGTGGATTTTGGTGTTGGTTGAAGGGAGGAGGGAGGGGTAAGAGGGAAGAGGGAAGGAGGTGGGAGATGAGTGGGTGTAGGCGGATGGGTGTCAGTGAAAGGGCGTAAGTGGAAGGGCGTGAGTAGGTATTGGTTGGATGGTTGGTTGGTTCAAGGGATTTGAGGGATATGTATAGTCGTTAGTTTGTAGGTGAGATGAGATGAGGTGGAGTGAGGTGAGGTGATTTTCTTGTATCAGTGCGAGCGACCTGGTGTATGGGGTGTGAGGTGTGTTAGATATGTGAATACGAGGGATTAGTAGATGGATAGATGGAATGAAGAGATATACCTGTCATTTGGGGAGGGTCTTGAACTTCTTCGTTCTCTACTCGTGCTGCCAGAAAGTATGCCACACTCCACTCACAGGCACATTCCATGAGGTGGTAAAATACAAGGTGATTAACCTTAGTGGCCCATATTTAGATGGAGTGTTGCATCCTTTCTGGCCGCACGAGTAGCGAGCTCGCGCGTGAGGTATGAGATGGAAGGGTGAATGGGAGAGCGATGTGGTTATGGTATGACATGAGATGACATGAGACGATATGATGTCGAGGAAGAGGGTTCATGAAATTCTACAACAGATGAATTGATGTTAATTTAAGACCTACTTTGGGCTCTAGAGTTCCGGTAGTTTGAACTTTGTTGAGGGCGGGAAGAGGAGGTGTCTTGGAGGACGGGGGGAGAGAGGGGAAGGTGCACTCTGTAGTCAGATTTGCACTTGCAGCGAGTTTTTATGAAGCGGATACTCGGGACGAGGGGATCCGAGGGTGGAAGTTGAGGTTGTGGGTTGTAGGGGGTTAGATATCATTAAACGAGGTTGCTTTGTGGTCTTGCGCAAACCTTAGTTATTCTGAGTCAATGTGGGTTATTTCGATTCGTTAATTTACATTTCGAGTATCACCTCAGTGAATGGATAGCTACATATATGTATTTGCGTTGCATGATACAGCTTTAAGACCTTCATATTTGTGTCACATGAAACAAGCTTGAACCTTATTCTATAATTTCATGGGAGGCATGGAAGAGAACATATATCGGATACGGAATCGTTTCTTTGCTCCAATGTCCGAACAAGGATTAGAATAGTCTACAGTATACTTACATGAAAGTATACTCTGCTTACAATTTCATGGTCGTCATAAGAGCAAAGCCCATCTAGTGAACAGGCAAACTATGCATGGAAAGCGCTCACACAAAATCTTTGTGAGATCCAATGCTCCGTATTTCAGATCACCACAGGAAGGTATCATTGATGAACCAGGGGACATAGGTGTAAACCCTCCGCTGTACAACGATCCAAACCTTATTCTTAGACATCGTTGCGATGAAGAATCAATCGCGATCCCATGGTTCCAATGCCCCTCGCTATCGTGTACATTAACGGTGCATCGAAGATATATTGACGTTGGATCAACGGCATATCAACGGTATATCAACGGCATGTGTGCTGCACATATTAGATGATTTAGTTCGTCATATCTTAGATGGAAAATGTCTTCTCCGACGTACCAGTGCCTCTTCCGAAGTACGAAGAGATATCATTAGATAAGCATTATTAGGTTTTAGAGGGGGAGGGGGGAAGTTATACGCCCCCTTTTCTTCAATATAATCTCAGCACTTTTTTGAACAACTTTCATACTTGATCAGTAATTCGAAACATCCCAAAAAGTTTCCAAATTCACTTTTTGGAAGAGGCCTGTGTTGTGTACCACGACACACTTGTAAACTGGACATTGCAACAAATTCTCCGGCTGAACATTTATATTCTCCAAGATTGTCCGTAAAGTCAACTCTTGACATGACAAGATCAGACACGACAGTGAGTGAATTCATGGACCTTGAAAGCTATAAGGATACTGGAGTCTGGCAGTGACTGGGTAAGTTCAATGCCGAAAGACAGTTACAAGGGACGCGAGGAGTCATACTCGAACGATGTATAATCTGCAAGAATTACTCGGCATTCCGATGAAGATTCAAATGTCGAATGAAGAAGCTTTTGTCCTTATCTACTGCATGCGCATACACACCCACTCAAACTGGTATTTGCAGATTTGTCTGCTTGTTATCAGCGAATGAGAGAGGTTTGTTTGATGATGACGATTTTGTAGGTCGCGAGTTTCAGGGAAAGAGAGGAGATAAAGCTTGAGTACTAGAGTAGGAGTTGTGGGTTGGAATGGACGTGGTTGTTTTTTTCCGTCTGTGTGAGTTAGATGACAGACTTACTGGGGATATGCATAGCAGGTGGGTATTACCTCTTGCTCGTGGAACGCTGAGTTTGATTGATTTTTCAATGGAGGGAGCTAGGAAGAGGGCAGGAAAGGGTTGAGATGGGACGAATATACTCGAGTATACAAGTCTTCTGTGCTCTCATAAAAGATATCAATTTTGGATCCGTCAACCTTTATATATCCTTGTTTCCATGGTCTTCGTTTGGTGAATAGAAAGCTTTGGGTGAGCTTCAGTTATTTGGTTTCTGTCTTGGGTTTCTGTCTTGGGGTTTACAACTACTGAAGATATACGAGTTATTGGAGTTAAGGATATACATCCACATTTTACATCGACTTCTGGACATATAATCGTTACTTTCATCTCGTTTGATTAGAACTATCTTCACACTTTCTTATCGATCAGAATTCAGAGTTGAACTAGATGAATATATTTCAAGATATCACCAGCACTCTTCGATAGAAGCAAATATATGACTATATCATTATAATTCTTAGATGCTTTGTTGTTAGTTATTTTAGTTTATTTATTGAAATTATACTTTCTCGATTCCAAAAGTTAGATTTTCTAATCACGAGAAAACCAGGTTCTACTAATTAGCACAAGGCATTACTTGAAGGATCGATTCAAGTAGGAATATCTCTATCAGCTAATCCTTCTTTGGTATTCTAATATTCTAATTCACAAAGTAGTACTCTACCATTTTATTTATGCTTCTAAGCAAACTTCCTATAGTTTTTCTATTACATTGTATTAATGACAAAGTTTGTTTTCTTTTTGAAAACAAAATATTCTTTTAAAAGGAAATCAAACACGTTTTTTTTTATAGTTTACATCAAATTCGACAGAGATGTACTTATTGTTATCAAGACTATCAAAACTAATTTAATCTATTAAATTATATTAACTATAAATTCTTTATAAGATGAATTATATTATATATTAGATATAGAATTTAATAAATGCGAGTCTTGGAATAAAGTGGTCTTTGAAAAGTATTACAGATTGTGATACTAATTAATAAGAGAGTCTTTACAGGAAGACCTCTTAGTCGAAATAAAGAGTGACTTCAAATTAGTATTAATGATATAACAAATTGTACAAAAGCGAAGAATGCTATGATTCAATAACTAATATGAATAAGACATTTTGGAGTATTATTTCTACTAGAAATTAAAAAGATTTAATTATATACGAACAAGGCAGTAAAGTTATTAAAACTATTTATTAACTAATATATTTAAAGATTTAAAAAAGAAAAAGGAATAAATAGAGAACTAAAGAATGAATTTGAAGTTGGTTAGGGAGCATTTGTTATTTAAATAATGAAGTATATAAGTTTGAAGTTTAAAGAGAATACTTATAATTAGATTGTAAACCAGTTGACTCTATCATTTGCTTCAATTTATACTACAAGTTCAGCTATTTGCTATATCTTATTAGATCTCATTGCTTATTCGGAATTTATTACACCTTTTCGTAAAGAAATCGAACAGGTGATTGTAAAAAAAGGATTTGAATTTGATACTAACAAAAAGGAATGCTTTAAAAAACAGTTATTAATATAATTAAAGAAATTAGATAGTCTTTTAAAAGGGAGTTAGAGGCTGAGTTCCTCTAGTATAAGCATATTGATTATTTCTTTCAATCTTCATTAAAATATGAAATAATATATAAAAGAAAACTAACTAACAGAAACCAGCTGTAATTCTCCGCATAACAACCGCTCCCCTTTATCTTTCCATCAGCCATACTATCCCCAAGGGAACCAGTGTATTATACGATTCCCATATAATCAACTTAGCAGGCCTTAATCTCTCTTCGCTTCCCTACAATCCTTCTATAATACTCAAACTCAATCCTCCCAATATTTTGTTTCCCTTCCGCTTTTCCTTACTATATAAAATTCCAGGAAATAAGTCCAAATATTAATATATAACAACAAATAAGAACTCTTTGAATTTTGGTTATGGTATATGCTCTCTATCTCCCAATTTCTCTTATATGCTTTACATCTCCAGTCAACTTCCCCTACATCATCCAGTCTTGAAAACAGAGAATCTCCCTAAGTACTAATAACACAACTTATGTCCAAACAAGTCACCACGCATGTCCAGGTCGATTCTTTACAGGGGTGGAACTCAAAGTAGTAATGGTCGAATTATTGAGACATTGGGACTTTAGAAATATTAGGGATGTCAAAATAAAGGGAGTTGAGAGACCAGTAAACATTGTTGTTGGTATTTTTATTCATCCGCATCCGGCGGCGCAGCTCGAGTTTAAGAGAAGAGCTTAGGTATTGAAAAATTGGAGAGGAGTGAGGAGTAAGCGGTCATTGAGGGGAGTGAATGAGAGCGGGGAGAATGAGATAGATGCCATCTGTTTGGTCACCAGTTCAATTTCTATTTGATTTTCATCGTGTTGAATAGTTGCAAAATATTCCCACCAGTACAGTTAGATAGACAAAAGTATCTTTCTTTACTCCTGCCCACGATCCAGTCAATGTCGAACAGTAGGAGTGTGTTTCAGAGCCTGCAGAAAATCATGGTGCCAAGGTTTTTAAGGAAGATTTTTAATATATCGCAAAGGGCTCGTTTGCTAGACTATGTATAAAATACCATCTGTTCGAAGGTATTACACAATAACCTACCTACCTACCCAACCAAGACCCTCACTCCCCTCCCACTACTCGCCGGCACAAAATAATCACTCGTACACTCCACATCCCCTCCATTCGTATCATGCAACGCCAAATTCTCATCTCCACAATTCAACTCTCCAATAACACCCTTAACACATAAATACAACTCTGCCCATGCCAAATTGATACCTAAACATTGACGCGATCCTTTGCTAAAACTTACAATGTATTTTGATAGAGATGGGTTTTCGAGAAAGCGGTCTGGTGAGAATGTGTTGGGGGAGGGGAATATGCGGTGGTCGAGATGTTGGAGGTAGGAGGACATGGATACGGGGGTCTGGAGTGGTGTTAGCTTTTGCGGGGTGATAGAGGGGAAGGAAGGTAGGGATGATAATTTGGATTGATGGGATGTATGTGAACTTTCACGATATTTCGAATGATTTGAACGTTTCAATTGTACTCGAGAAACGAAAAGCATTTCAATGTCGAAATGCAATTTGAGCCAAAAACTCTTGGGAGAGAAAAGAAGGGAAAAAATGATTCAGGAGAAAAACATACACCTGAGGGAATTTCCCACTCATGAAACTTCAATACTTGATCCGGAGAAATCCTTTGCAAATGTGCCACAACTCCAAAACTCAACCTCAGCCCCTCTTGTATAACAGCTGTCAAATAAGGCAACTGTTCTAAGTCCTTTAATCCATTTTTTCCCTCCATCTCGGTAAGAAGCTTCGATAGAATATCAGGGTTAGCGAGGACATGGTAGGCAATCACAGATAAAGTCCAAGCTGTTGTTTCAGTACCGGCTCCTATGACAGTTTGTCCTTCTTGCCAGAGACGAGCTACTGATTTCTCGTTTGGGGGAAGATCACTGGAGAGAATTTCGTGGAAGATTGTCAGTTGGGAGGAACGTTCATGATTGGTGTTTTTTCCATTGATGATAGCACCTATTTGAGCTTTCATCCCCTAGGATCCAGTCAATTCCTTCAACGTCAGAAAAGTCATCGATTGCATGCTCACCATCTGAAATTCCACAACACTAACAGTTTTCGGATCAAGAAACCTAATCAACGACAACGGCATATACTGCATCAACGTGAAGATCCACGGGAACACCTTTGTAACATGTGATATGTTACCAAAATTCTCAATCGCATCGTGAAAATCCGTATGAAAATCGTCAGAAGTCTTAATGGAACTATCTGTTCTTCCCAACGCGTATTCTGAAATGACATCGAAAGTAAAACACGAAAAGGCCCACGAGAGATTAACCGGCTTCTTAGTGTCTTTATACGAGCAGAGCCGACGAACAAGTGAATCTACATATTTCTGAATCATGGGTTCGAGGCGGAAAACACTGGCTTTGGAAAAATAACGATTCATGGCTCCTCGACGAAGACGATGATGATTGTGTGAGACAGTGCCAATCATCGATTCGGAATTACCAAATTGCTTGGTGTAGTAGGGATATTTATCACGTCTCTTCCCACCAGCGACATACAATTCATCGTAATAGTCTGGATCATTGATATGAAGCTCCCAGGGATTAATCCGGATTATAGGTCCTATTTGAAGAGTATCAAGCTCATGTTGGACAATAGGAAGAAAGGACATACCATATCTCTCATGCAACTCCTTAATTTTGAAGGTATACTTTCCTCCCAAGACAATCTCATGATATATTTCATAGAGGATGGAAATAGCAGCCAACTTTGGTCCGGGGAATTTGGCGATTGGACTGAAGTATAGACGCCATATTATTCCATATACAATGTAGGATAACAAAACAGCAATGATTGGAACCAACATCATATCCACAAATTTCAAGATCGACTCCCTTGAGGATATACACAAACACAATGCTTCACCAAAACAGAGGAGTCCATAAAGAAATAAATATAAGGACCAAGCAGATGGGAATCTGCAGATACCCACCCACTCGGGCTGTCAGATACCAATTTTTGTTCCCATTGGGAAAGTGGAGGACCCAAGGCTTGGGATAAAATCACATAATCACCATGATTGACAGACCGTTGCGGAGACCAGGGTGATAAAATCTTCAACTAATAAATACGTCCGATACTATTGGACCATTGAGAAACTCCCTGCATGTGTGTGACAACGAAACAACCCATGCATATGCAAATGACGAAGCCAGCATAAAAGTATTGGCTTGGTCTCTTTGAAGATACCCGGGAACCAATCAATAACGCTTGTATGATATCTGAATTGATCAATACCGAGACTATTTCGTTCCGAGTGAACGTATCAGAGTGCAAAAAATAAAAAGTATTATTCACCGTCGGGTCATCAGATCATCAGACAAAGCAGGTGATTTGGGAGAAGGTCGTTGAGACTTCCGTATAATACCTTCTATTCCACATCTAAACCCCTAAAAGGATATACCATCCAATGCAATGCCATACGATTACCTATCCAAAGAAACCGTCTTATAATTCCAAAAGTCCAACCGAGTCCTGGGGGTTTCCTAGATGTATAAATGCAGCAATTTAGCCCGCATAAAACGATCATAAAGAAACGCGATTATTTCTTCTTGGGCAAGTATTTAATGCCCTTTCTGGGACAAGTTCCTCTCCCACCTTTTCCAGCTGGAGCTGTAGCCACAAATTCCCCTAACTGCAAACTTCCTTTGACATTAAAGCTATACCATGCCTGGTTCAATCTACCGTTCGAACAACCCAACACAACTTCACTTCCAGTAACCGCAGTCAATGCCGTCTGGATCTGATCCTCGGTGTAAGTAGCCGAATAACTTGGCACAATTCCGGCCTTCTCAAGTGCTTTATAAGTATCCAACTCTTTGAATAATCCTACGGCCCTTGTAAAGAAATCGACGACTTCATCACCAGCTTCGTATTTGTCGCCGTAACAAGATGGTGCGAGAGTATTTACACATGTTCCATGTTTGTTCATCTCATGTTCCCAAAAGGTTTCGGCAGATCCTCGATTGGGGAGCCAATATTCATGCATATATGCGAGAAGATCGGTTTGGGATGCGGCGGTAAGTATAGAGGTTATATTGTAGTATTGAGGAGTGCTGTGACAATATGTGGGATAGGAGCCATCGCATAGATCCGGCCTATGAGACTTGGTAAGCTTTTAAACATGTAAGAATTGGTCGCAGGTGAACAAACCAAAGACCATGAAGAGTCCAACTATCAGCTGGCCCTATTGCAGGACTGTAATCCCAGAACTGAGTCTGGAGAAGTTGGCCTCCGGGATAGACGAAGCAGCAAGAATCGGGAGCGGCGGTGCTGTTGTGGCAGGAGAGAGGAGAGGTTGATGGACATGATGGTGCATTTCCAAAGGGGATATAGGGTCTAGGAGTTGTTGTGACGGCCGATGAAGAAGAAGATGGATTATTGATTAATGGTATTTGTGATAGGAGACCGCCTGCAAAGGAGAAGACTTTACGAAGGGAAGAGACGGAAGTTGTGTTGGATGCCATTATGGACCGAGTGACCAACGGTGGTACGTTGATCGATTGAAAGAGAGGGAAAGGGTTGTGGGTGAAAATGTAATTGGCAAGAATCAATTATGAAGTGAATATGAAGTGAATATGGATTGTATTTATATTATATACATATAACTTATTATACTCTAATGGAACAAAAGAAAAGGAAGCATGCTGCTGCGGATTCCTCGAGCTCACATAACACGCAGGTGAGCTACGTAAAGTGCTAAATTAATAAGCGTGCTAAGGGACTGATAAGCATTTGGGCATGGCATGTGATAAGATAATTCGTCGATAAGCCCCTGTAGATTAGTTCATGTGCCCCTGAATGTTTCACCATCACTGAGTTGTACACAAAGAAAGATCAGGTACCTCCAGTACTCGGCCAAAGTGATGAACTCAACGATCTCATCTCAATGAATGCAATTCCTCTACCTGTACGGAATGTCCATTTCGACATATCTGTTTTGCAATATCAATCTATGTACTTGAGATGTGATCTCGATTCAATGATCATAATATTGATGGTATTTCTTTGCCCACGATGATTGTCTCGAATCACACATAAATATAACACAATTCTCCATTCAGCCCTCCTAGTGTGTTCATCAAATCTTTCAACGGAACAGGGCCCGCGTTATATCCAATATCTTGTAGATCCTCCAACGTGGTGTTTCTACTAGGAGGGACATTACTCATAGTGATCGTTCCTGAGACGGCATTCTGTCTCTTCGCTAAATCCTGAAGTTGCCATATCCACCAGACTCTATCTATCATCCCGTGATGAAGATAGAACGCCGGGTCGCCTGGAGATGTAAAGAAGTCCTACAAATATGTATTGTTAGTACTTTATATCTTCAGGGAGGGGTCCAGAGACGAAATCCACTTACACCGCCCGGGTCACCACCCACTGTGAAATGTCCTCCAGTATGAACGCCCCATTCTCCTATACTGAATAAGCCTTGCATGACAGTCTGGAACCAATATATATCTGCATTTGAAGGTTTTGTTATGAGGTCGTAAGTATAGTTGGTTTTCGTGACAGCAGCACTATGGACGTTAACATCGCGGCGTAGGCATCGGGGATTGTAGCCGAAGCCGTCGGCTTGAGGATTCACTGGCGTGCCGGATATTGTTCCAGAAACTGGGCCAAGGTGAGCAGTCATACTACAAGAATATTTAGCATATTGATATCATAATATAACCAAAGAGTTATACTTCTTGAACGGGCCTGTGGTAACACATCCACCACCGACACCCGGTGGAATAATGTCGAATGGCGCCGGCGCGAGGTTGATTGGAACACCAGTATGGTTGTAATACAAACCATTGCCGCTCATGCTAGTGGGACTCCCGTCAAAGAGCGGGGAGTGTATCGGATCATCGGCGTATCTGCCCCAGTTCCAATACTGACGTTCGTCAGTGGTTGGCAGCGAGAAAGTTTGAAACATAGACTGAGGAAAGTTTGAAATATTTGACGTGTGAAACACCAATTATAGGTGATGGGAGTCAGATGAATTCAAGGCTCACAGGCTGATATCCTTTATATCCACATTCTTCACGGAGTGCTTTTTCGTACGTATGAACATAGTATCTATGCCAGCCCAGAAAGTTACCCTATATCATCAGTTCGGACCACAGGATGCTCAGATATAGCATTTACCTACTGTAGCATGAATGGTTAAGCTCTGATTCATATGCGTGGCAACGAAGTCATCAAAGCGACTTCGAACACCCGGAACAACTTCAGAAGGCGTGATGGGCTTTTTGGACTGTAAACAAAGAACGGCATCCGTGTACGCAATTCTATCCGCTCCTGAGAGGTCGCTCCTGCAAGATATTAGGTCTTGGAGTAACGGGACATCATTGTCACCTTACCATTCACGACGCTTTATGGCATTTTTGGTCGTGCAAGTGTTGTTTGGATAATGTATAGCTTGATATGCCGCTAGTTTCGCAAGACCTTTTGCTGCTAGTTGATCTACTGCATCGGGGGGATATGGAGGATACGAAGCTGCTTCAGCGACATCAACATATGACTGAAGAACAAGAAAGGTTGAAAGAAAACGCATATTGAAAAAGAGTAGACCTAGCGGGTTTGATAGCAAGACTAATCATAAGTGCCATTGAACACTATTAATACTTCAGATACTTGTATTCTCCTTTCTCGTCTAACACGGTTATGAGTGTAATTACCTCGAAACACTCCGGCGAGTAGCCGATTCTTCGGCTTCCGGACCAAGAATGGGATGCTTTCGGACAGTTGAAAGCTTTAGACATCCTTGGCAAAGCTAGCTAGAACATTACATGGCGTTTTGACATGAGCAAATGCAATTATGCAGATACAAGCATCTGAAGTCTGATGAGTGATATCGAATGATACTTGTTGAGGCGTAATATTTATCCCCTGAATTAATTGGCGAAAGCTAAGCACTTGCATTGCTTACTCCATACAACAGCATTATACAGTTATAAGCCGACAGACACATCCACGACCTTCTTTCACCGCAATGAATGGCGTTTCATCTGACGATCCTATCCTTGTAGTATGACTTTCGAACATAAAGATATGAAGCCCGCCTTCGAATAAGTGAAGCTGGCTTTGCGATTGTCTTATTTGGCAGAGATCTTACTTTTGGCGATATTAGTGGTATCTTAGGTATTGATCTCGCCAAAGTCATTTCTGATGGAGTTGAAATATCTCAGTGGCTACATCGCACCAAGTGTCACGCATCTAAGTCATCACACTACTTAGCCGGCAGTTTTTCCACATATAAGCACAGTCAGACTTTGATTTAGACGGTTGATAGTGGCGTAAAAAATGGGAATCCTACAGAATATCCCCGCATCATCAATGTCTAGGGTTGAGCATTTTCATAATATATAATCTCGCATATTCGTCACTAAAATATAGTATATAATATTAATCAAAATCTATTATTCTTAGTATAGAAAGTAAAGATTGAAGAGATTTATTAAAGAGATTTTGAGAGGAACTCTTGAATTTAATTGAATTATATAAGATTGAAGATATTTTAAAGGAAAAGTTTTAAATTAAATTATTAAAGATTTATTAATTTTATTCAAAAATTACTCTTGAAAAGATTTAAATTTTCGAAAGTTTTAATAATATTATTAACTTTAGATTCTAAATTAATATTAAATATAATATCGTTTTTTAAATTAAAATTTAGATCTTTTTGTAATTCTTTATAAATATAAAAGGATGAGTTATTCTTTTTTGATAATTTATAATATTCATAAATTTATACAAATAAATATTTATTTATTTATTGTTTTAATAAAAAGTCAATTTTTAATTCGATTTAAATGAAATTTGTGTAAAAGAATATTCTTTTAAATAATATATTAATAATAATCATAGCTAACAAATCAAGAATTAATTTTGAAAAAAGAGGTATTTTATATTTTCATATATAAATGATTAAATATTAATAAAGAATTTTATAAAGATTGAAATTTTTAAGATTTAAAAAGAAAGTTTTAATTTATTATAATTTCTTAAAAAATATTAGAATTTAAAATCTTTTAATATGATTTGAAGATTATTATTGAAAAAATATATAAAAGAAGATTATAATTAAAATTTTAAAGTGACACGGGTTCAATACGTAGTTATATGGATGCCTAAGGCATCCAACCTCTATATAGTCGGAACCTCTCCGCCTCCTTCTTCACTCTTTGTAGAATATCATACATCTTACCTAGTACCTATCTCTTACACCGTGATATAAAGAATATTTTGAGTATAAGAAATGAAATAAATTAATTTGATTGATTAAATTAATTCGTTGATTTCTTAATAGTTTAAAATTCTAGAATGAATTCTTTATATTAAACTTTTTTATTATTTATTTAAAAGTTTTTCAGAAATAGATTCACTTTCATTCATTCTATTGATTTAATTGGTTTAAAAAACACGTGAATAATCTTAACGTAATATTTAATCACATTCAAAAAGTGTAATAATAGAGAAATATATATTCAACCCCTGGATTATATAATCCGCCCATCCCTAGTCTAACCACCCCTCGGGAGAGTCCATAGCTAGACTAGGTCGAGATCAAATTCTTGATTGTATAGTAGAAATGCTCAACAGCATCCAATTTACGGAAACTTTAAAATAAAAATTGCAATAAGCGGTGTGTCGTACAGGTTGATTTCTCTTTAGCTCAATCAATTTAAATGTACAACGGAAGAATTTTTCTATCATACAGAAAAAGTGACGGGATGGAAGACCTACATTTTGATTATACCGTATACGGCGTCAAGCCACAGACGACAAGTAATCTTAGTACCGGTAAGCCATAAAATATGTCACGTGGAAGACTAAACTTCTACACTCATCAATCACATCCTTTCTGCCGAATGTGAATGCTTGTTCTTGCAGGCGGTGGGAATTATTCGATATTGGCTAACATTTTCCGATTTGACCATAACAACTTCATCTTGAGACGATATCTAAGAGGCCAGGACAATCAACCTGCTTATTCCACCATGGTCTTTCTCGTGGGATCTCGATCATTGGGTCTCCATCTGCAGAAATCAACATTACAACCAGCTACACAAACTTTAGTATGTTAAACCTTGTCCACCCATGATTCTAAGCAGGCTAATGTCTACCCACCGATAGTTTCGTCGAATTCCTTTGGGCTGCACGCACACTCGAGATTTCCACTCTTCATTCTTCAGCTCCTTTAGTCCAAACTCACTGGTTCGCAAATCACCTCTACTGGAGAACATCCCATCAAGTGGCTCTCGCCCTTTCTGCTCATCTACCCCATTAGCACGTGCTTCCAAGTGGGCACAACGGGAGCAACATGCCAAAAGCAAACATCAAAACAAACATTCGCAACACACTCAAAATGAACACCAACCCATCGATCCCACCCCGACAATCAGATACCGCAGGCCCCGCTCTAGCTACCCACTTGCCATTGTCATTGCTGTAGGATGTACATTCGTAACCCTCAGCTACAACCGTTCTCCATTCGTTGATTTTCCCCTCCCCAGTCTCATTCCCAAACTCACACCAGAATATTTCGATAGAAATTTCGTCCTTTCTCAGCAGAATATAGATGAGGGACGAATCTATACACTCATCACCCATAGCTTCATGCATCAGACATATTACCATCTTTTCGCGAACATGTATTGTATGCTAGCCATGGCTCCTCTGGTCAACCCACTCACTTTCGTGACTATCTGGGCTGGCGCCGGTGTTACATGTTCGCTTGCCTCTCTCTACATATGGAAGCATGGTCTTTCATTCAACCAGAACCCAAGCTCTATAAATTCTATAGATCGGGGTTGCGGTGCATCTGGCAGTTTATCTGGCCTAATTACCATGTTGGCGGTAAAACATCCCAACGTGTCTTGGCAGTTCATGTTCGTACCCATAGGAATCCCGGCTTGGTTTTTGGTGGGAGGAGGAGCGGTCTATAGTATTCTGGCCCTTAATAACGGGTGGCAGCCGGGGGTCGGCCATGCGGGACATCTTGGGGGGTCGGCATTTGGTGTCTTGGCTGGTGTTGTGAGTAGACGATTTGGCCTGAGGGGGTTTTGATGCAGTCTTTATGAAGAAAGTGATGGCTACGAATAGGGTTTACCCTAAACGGATATGTTCTCGTCCATTAATATAGTAGACCGCATGTGAGCTTTCATTGGTTGGAACATTTTAATCGAGTTCGAAACCTGTAAGCTTTTCATCGTCAGACTATCCTTCAAATGAACGAAAAGCCTGGTTAAGTGGACAAGAAGTAGAAGAAGCATGAGGCCGCTATATTCGTATGCTGAATCATCAGAACCAAACCTAGGTGAAAGGGGAAGATCAGTCGAAACAGAGTCACTCAATGTCCTTTACCTCCTCTTCATTCGCAACACCGGTATAGCAACTATCGCCGCCATCGCCACCGCCACCCACAATACATAATTTGTACCCTCATATTTCAATTACAATTTATACATTCAAGCTTCTTCAACCATGGAGATTAATCATTAGGCTTTTATTATTCTACTATTATTGACGAATTCTATTCATCTAATTCCACGTCTATCCATCTGATATAACTCCAATTTCAGAATTTGTTTGATCTTGTTATTCATGATATCGTTTCCTCGTCTCTTGAGCACATCAAACTAAGACTGGTTCTTCTTTCTTCTCCGCTGTACCTCCGATAACTCTCCCCTTCACCTTACCTCCTCCTGCATCTAACTTGGCATTCTTAATCACTAGGGACAAAACCACGACCGGTGCACTCACACAGAGCGCCACGATGAGCAATTTTTGCATAGTCTCTTGATAGGCCCTGTTGATTGCAGCTCTCTCGGGTGTTCCCACGGGATACGCGAGAGCGTTAGTAATACTATTGTATACGGCCTTGCTATCGATAGTGGAGGAGTATTTGGCCAATTTCTTGGGAATATCTTGACCCCAGATAACGCCAGCAATGGCACTTCCAACAGCGCCGCCCATCTCTACACAAGTCAAGTAGACAGCTGTAGCGACAGCGACATTCTGATGACTAGGGACAGAAGCTTGAACAGCAAGTTGAGCTGGGACGTTGAGCATTCCTCCGCCGATACCAACAGCAATTTGCGTGCCAATAATCTGTGCGATAGATGAATTCTCTCTGCGGTAATGAAACATGAGTCCGATGCCCGTCAGGTAGATGAGCGCTCCAGCTGTAATGTACGGTTTGTAGTATTTGGTGTACTTGATGAAGAAAGATATGATGACAGAAGAAATGGTTGCCGTGAAAGAAAAGACCTGTGTTACGTGGCCTGCAGCGGGAATAGAAAGATCTTGAACGACAAGAAGATAGGAGTAGAAGTATGGTTGAACCGAGAGAAAGAATGCCACTGGGAAATATCAATACGAGAGATGGCTGGAAGACCAAAGTGAAACTTACTGAAGTAGAAAAATCCAATGCCACATCCTGCGCAGAATGTACGGGATTTTAAGAGACCGAGGGGAATGAGTGGATGCGGTGCCAGCTTTTTGACGGATTCCCAAACAGGGAAGCTGATAAGGCAAGTAACACCTAGAACGATCATTGCGATAATATCTGGGCTAGCCCATCCATTCGAGGCTTTAGACGCAATGGTGAGCGGAATCAAGATGAGCGCAAATGCCGCACTCAATAAAATCATGCCTCCAATATCCAAATCATTCCAGAGAGTTGTTATGGTTGCAATCAGACCCAATTTCTTCAAAGGCGACGCAGCAGTAAGGCCAGCCTTCTTCGCCTTTCTATTGTTGAGGAACAGAGACAAAGCCAATGGTAAGAATACAACTGGGAGGATTATACACCATATGCCATAACCCCATCTCCATGTTGTAGTTTTAAGAATTTTATCTCCAATTGGTGCACCAATCCAAACAGTGATCAAGAATGGAATCTGCGGTAAACTAGACCATAAAGCACGATTGAGGAGATTAGTTGTATCCGCAATGAAAACTTGCTGGAGAATTTGAAGACCGGTGGAGCCAGCTGCGTAGAATATCTGAGCTGCGGCATAAGTTTGGACGTCGTTGGACATGGCCATGGTAGCGCCACCGATTATGGCGAGAATGATTGAAATGGTGAAAGCTTCGAGTCGACCAAATACATCAGCGGTTTTGGCCATGGGCGCTTTAATGACAGCTATCCTGAATCAATACATATACACAAAAGGTGAGCAATTACGGATCTCACTTACCCATGACCACGCTTTGAACGACCAATACTGTTGAAATCAAAGAATGGTTGTTGAATGAGCTTGTCGCAAAAATAGAAAGTGACATGACCACTTGTGATTCGAGTGAAGTAGTGAAGGAGATGAGGAATACACTGGGATCCTTGTTAGAACGCTGATGGTTCACCAATATCATCTCAAGAAATGTACCCGATGTATGCTATGATCAAAGACCATGTTGTCCAAGTCATTGACACGGCCTCGATATTTTGTACACCAGCTTGGGTGGCATTTTCAATGTCTTTCTCATTTGGGCCTGGGGAATTTGCTCCTGCTCGAGCTTGAGAGTCAATTACCGAATTCTGTGTCTTGAATGTGTTTGTAGAAGACTCCTCGGGGTCGACAGTAGTTTTCTGGACCATGATGGTGGATGGCGATGGTTTTTTGAGGTTGTGATGTGTCTCAAGGGCGATAAAGGAAGAGACGAAAATCGCGAATCATTATTGTAACAAGTAGCAATCTTCTAAATGTGAGCTACACATCTACCAGTTATGATAACATCATGGTCGAAGCTCTTGGGTGCGTCATTAGTGGTAAGGCCGTTGCAAACCTTAATCGACACTTGCAGCTCAGAGCCTCTCTATCAAACTCAATCGTGGATGAACAAATCTTTGAGTAACCTTTTCAAGGAAAACCTTGAGCGGGGTACGAAAAAAAATCGAAGCAAAGAGGTAGATCATGATGGATGTGAATAATCCGCCTCCACTTACCATGTCGTGCGTCCGCTATTAGAAACGACAAGAACAAGTTACGCTGAATTATGCTAATTTTTGAGGACTTTCCCAATACGATCACTGACGAAAGCTTGTATCCTCAATATTTCTGAGCAGACCGTCGTGACTTACAAAGTTCTTCAATCAGTAATAGAATAATACTTCATTCCCAAAATCCGAATGATCAGAAACACGACTTGCTCTCTCTCACTTCACTTCGGCAGGTTGATATTCATTCCTCACAGAAACCCTTTCTCGACTACGAGCTGGTTTGGAATGAAGTGTATTGTTTGAATGATAGCCTTTGGTACTAAAGATATGAGTCTTTACATATTAGACTTTGGGCGGGAAAAAGGTGGAGGAACACGAGTGACACGAGTGGTCGTATTTGTGTGAAGCGGTTGTGATAGACAATGAGTCTGAAGTTCAAAAGGGTAATTGTGGGTCATGAAATTCCAGATCGGGTTTTGAGTATGATAACTTAGACTTGCGAATCTCTGCACACATGATTTGAAGCACACATCCATAAGGGTGTAAGGCTTTCGAGGGTGGCTTATCAGTTTTGAGGTATGCAAGTTTGAGGTATTCTAAAGTCAGTGAGTGACCTGGTAGCTCATCGACTATAGTTTCGCTCATGCGTAGGGCATTTGTGTAACTTCCTCATTCGTACATAGTAACCTTACATGATCGACTTGATAGGTAGATATCGTTATTTATCTCGAGAAGTCTGTGTTTTCCATCAGTTGGTGGCTGAAGTCCTACCGGGTTATTGTGAGGTTGACGTGAGGTGAGGTGTAGATGTTCTGATATCCGTCCTCCACGCGATCACCATAATTAATGTGGCAACTGTACCGGTACCCACCCGCCCGCACTCACAACGCGTTCGTGTCACTGTCACTTCTCAATCCCACACCCAATCCCAATCTCAATCCCAATCCCAATCCAGTCAGATTCGGGCATGTCCGACCGATCAACCTGATAAGGCATCCCAGAGTCTGATCGTTGCAGGCCAAGATAACCCCATAAACCCAATACGAAGCAGGAAGTTGATCGTGTGTTTTTGTCACTTGTGCCGTGCCAATACCCCATACAACCGACACGCCGATGATTGTCCATCTTGGTCTAACTGGGTTAAGTGTATCGTCCGATAAGTTTGGGACTGCCGTTGATAACAAGCGTCCATTCGAGAGACGTCCAATGCCATCAGTACCTACCTACGAGTAGGTAGCCATGTAAATTTAATAAATCGGATCAAGTCCGTGTCCACCAACACGATCCAGTCCAGTAAAATTTGCCGGGTAGTTGATCACCTTCACCCACCAGCATTGAAGCTATCAGGACTATCAAGGCTATTATCTATGATCTATCAGAAGAACAGGGTAAGTGGGACATGAAAAAAATTGTCAGTGAGTTGATTGGTAGTCATACGGTTGTAGTAACTATCAAAGTGGAGTTTCTCTTTTCTTTCCTCAATCAAAATCTGTCAAGCTCTTCTCTCCTCTTCCTCCCCTTTTCCTTCCCTTCCCTCTCTCTCTCTCTCTCCCTCCCTCCCCAAAAGAGAGCCCAATTCCTCGGAGCATGACACCTATCTTCTCTTGACATTTGTTTCTTGTGAAGATTATCAACTCTTGGTTTACGTGGTTGTGATTGTCACCGGTTGATATAGGTACCCGTACCTCCTCGCAAGAAAAAGTCCTTGTGTTGTGTGTGTCAATTGAAAAATTTATCCCGAGATGTCCCCCGCCATGAACGTCGCGACTCTCAAAGCTCAATCGGCCGAAAAGGTTGGAGCTTTCAAGAATGCTTTCAAGAGTCGACAGAATTTCATGGACTATGTGACAGTTCAAGATACTGCTCTCGATCGCCACTCGGGCTCCAATAAGGTCTGGTCCAATGAAGATCTGTAAGTTTCAACATTAATTGTTGCTCATTTGGATTCTGGTCGATGGATTGGCGCACGGCGAACAATTCAGCTACTAAATTCGTTACTGTAGTGATCCAACACCTCCTGAAAAACGGACATGGCGTTGGTGGAACTTCGTTTCCTTCTACCTGGGACTCTCCTTCGGCAATTGGACTCTGGGCTCGACCATGGTAGGAATTGGTCTGAATTGGTGGCAAGCTATCATCGTGATCTTTGTCTCTCAATTGATCAGCTCAGTCGCCATGTTTTTCAACAGTCGATGCGCCTCAGTTTATCATATTGGATATCCTGTCGTAGCCAGGAGTGTCTTCGGAATGTATGGCTCATACTACTTTGTTGGAGCTCGCGCTGCCTTGGCTATTATCTGGTATGGTGTACAATGTAAGTGGTCTAGTTCATGACTCTCTGGCGCATTGAAACATTCTGCGTCTTCCCGCAAAGACTGGGCGAGCGAAATTCCATCACATCCTACAATCGGTTCTTTCTCGTGCGACATCTTACTAATGCGCCGATGATAACAGTGTTTTCTGGTGCAAGTTTCATGAGCAATATCTTGCGATGCATTTTCGGACACAACTTCACTAACATCCCAAATCACATTCCTGAATCGATTGGTATTACATCCGCCAATATGCTCGCCTTCTTTCTGTTTTGGCTAGTTCACTTTCCATTCTGCGCTTTCCGACCATATCAACTGCGAGCCTTCTTTTGGTTCAAATCGATTGTTGTTTTGCCAGCCGTGTTTGGTCTTTTCATTTTCTGTATGGCCAATACAAAGGGAAAAGTTGGATCAGTATACCAGAGCACGCTTGGGGAAGGGGCTGCCTATGGATGGTTCATTATGCATGGTATCAACAGTGGCATGGGTAATACTGCAACTTGTAAGTTTCGATTCAATATGTTCCCTGGATTGACATTTCGCTGTGCGACTCATTTGCCCAATTTTTTCGAAAGCGGTTTGAGAGTCTATATACACAATGTGCAACGAAAATCTGCTAACTTTTCACTCATGTAGTGATCACAAATCAACCAGATATTGCGAGATGGAGTGCGACGAGATCGGGCGCACAATGGTCGCAACTTTTTACTCAACCTCTATCCGTGACGCTATCTGCCACTTTTGGAATCTTGGCCACGGCTGCGATCAACAACAATTGGGGTTTAGAAATATGGAATCCCTGGGATTTGTTAAGCGCCATTTTGGATAGATATTGGTCTGGCAGCACACGTTTTGCTGTCTTTCTCTTGGCATTTTGCTGGATGGTATCCATTCTTGGTACAAACATTGCGGCAAACATGATTCCATTTGGTGCGGATAGTACCATGTTGTTTCCTCGATTTCTCACAATTCCCCGCGGGCAATATGTTGTCGAATTCTTGGCTTTTGCCATCTGTCCATGGAAGATTCTCGCTTCTGCGTCGGTTTTTACCACATTCCTTTCGGGCTATGGTATATTCATGGCAAGTGTGGTTGCAATAATGGTCTGCGATTGTAAGTTCTCTACCCGCAACACACATCCTATGTGGATAATTCCTGGGCTATCAAACTTGGAGATGTTTGGAAGTAGTTTATTTCATTTCGTAAAACTGGTGCTAACTTTTTTCTAAGATTATGCGCTCACTAAGGGTAATGTTTTCATTGGGCATCTCTACAATGGCACAAAGGCAAACAAGCATTACTATTATTTCCATGGCTGGAATGTGCAAGCGATTATTGCATACATTTGCGGTGTTGCGCTCCCCTTTCCAGGATTTGTTGGAACTCTAGGCGCATCCGTATCCCAAAGTGCTACGAACCTAGGACGTCTCGGATGGTTGTTATCGTTTTCTGTCAGTTTCGTCGTGTACTTTGCTCTTTGCAAGGTATGGCCGACTCCGAACCAGAAATTGATCAAGGAAATGGGTCTTGGATGGGAATCACAATACGGTGACATTGTAATCGCTGAAGACGGTACACAAATCGCAATTAATGCAGACGCGGTAACAGCGATCAGCGATGATTCTGAATCTATCAATAGAACTACAGTGGCATACCGAGGAGAAAAGGAATCTTGAGGGACAAGACTGGGTTAGCTTTACGATAATGAACGATATTAGTAGCAGTATTTATGATATTTATGATGAATACTACACAAATCAAATACTTTTAAAATTAACTTGGTCCTAGTGATAATCTCTCGAGTTAGATACAGCATAGTAGCCATAACCATCTAGACGATGTAGCTGGGGATCCAGGCATCGATTATTCCATATCAGTTGATTGTAAAGGTGGTAGACAAGTGGTAGTAATAAAGTAGGTGCTGCAGGGTAGCAGGGTCTATACTGCAATAGGGTTAGTGCTTTTCCGCTCTAAACTTGTACAATACATTCACTTCAATCACCTGCAACGTGGAACATAACTACCTTCACTTGCATCACGACGGCGATGATAACCACAAGCTCCCACGATAATTCATTAGAGGATGCCATACACGAAATCCAGTGATTTTAATTACGGCTCAAAGTCTTTTAGGGCTAGATTGGCTGAACCTTAGTGGGTTGAGTCCACCACATACTATGTCACTAGCCAGACTTTTAGCGAAAAGCGCGCACAAAGTTGCCACCACTGTGCATCGCTCCTGCATCCATGCTCTTTGATCTCTTTGGTGTTTAATCTTTAATCTTTAATCTTTAATCACACTCGAAATACGATCATCCATTCTAGTATATGACATCGCCTAGCACT